TAGAGTATTGTGTGGGGGTGTGCATGTGTGTGGAAATAAATTCCCACTAACTATGATGTATGTGATAAGAAATGGAGCGCAAAGCTTTTTAAATAGCTTGCCTTCCACTATTGTAAGTAATAACTTTAAAAATAAAAGAGTGTCTGTGCTGTTCTGTTTAAATGCCAGTCAGGAAACTGCTTTTGTAACGTGCATGGAGCTGTGCTGCTTTGGGGATAGCAGGTTTTCATGATGGGCATTTCAGGAGTGTGGACAACGCTCTGCTGCAAGGTGGCCTGAGAATCCCATCCCAACCTGTGCAGCGGTGGCCGTGACTTGCAACGAGCCCCTTCAGCTGCCTTTGCATGTCCCAAAGAAGGTAACAGTTCAGCAGAGCTGCCTGGGATGGCTCGCTGTGAGAAGATAGGCAGCACTGGGTTTTTTGAGGGAAAAGCTGCTTGTCTCAGAGATAGTACCCTGGTTGAGGGTACTGGGGTCTTGGCCGCAGCTTGAGCCGCATCTCCTGATCTTCCATCAATCTTACTCAGTTCTCAGGATTTGGGGACGTGGAGACAACCCTCTGTTAGCTCTGCATTCTTCTCATTTCCAAGGAGGAATTGCAAGCTTCCCAGACTGTACGTAGGAGTAATCCGTGCGGGGAGGATTGGACCCTCTGTCATTGACAGAGATGCTTGAATTGCTTTTGCAACCTTGCATCTGGCTGCCTGAATGAAGAGGAGGAAAGCAGCTGAGCCAGTGACCTTCCATCTTATTTGACTTCCAAATATACTGAGTATGATCAGCTAAGTAAACTTCCAGCTTTAGCACTTGGCAGTCCATACATTTTCATGATACGTATGTTCGCTTATAAAGAAAAATATATTCTTTGCATATCATGCTTGGTTATCTGTTGTCTAGGTCAGAAGTTGGTGGGATCTATGTTGCTAAGGAAATCTGATAAATAGGCTTCTGTATACATGTAGTGTTAAAACACTTCTGCAGAAATATGGGAACACAACATACTCTTCAGACAGATTTCATAGACAGCAGCATTCTCTGCAGGGAACAGCTTCATAATTTGGGTTGTCTTTGATTTGGTAGGCCCTATTTGTGTTATTTTGGTAGTGTGCTTTGCAAACGATACGTTGCTGAATAGAATGTTGCAAATTCCGTTTCTGCCCCTAGAGGGGAGCATTGTCCATATCTTCTAAATTTTGGACTTTGTTGTGTTTTATTTATTTTTTTTTTGCTATTTAGAGAGCTGTGGCAAAAAAGCACTAACAAATATGCTTCATATTTCACTAACCTGTACAGAAAATAGCTTTGTAAATGAGGGCAAAAAATTGATTATTTCCCTTTTAGAAACTTTAAAGATACTTAGTTTCTCTTGTCTGAGAAATAAATATTGTAAATAACATAAAATTCGTTTATTCCATGAAACTATTCTAAAAAATGGAGACAATTATTTAAGCAACCTTTTCAAGCTAAGAAGGCAACCAGCATGTCTCAGTGAGCTGTGTTTTTTTTTGCATTTGGTGGGAATTGCCTATAAGGAAAGAAGCTCCAATAAACTTTTCTGTAGAACACCAGGAAAAAAATTGTGTGAAGAAATTGTATGAAGTAGAGCATGCTCACTAGAGCTAAACTTTTGGACCATAACTTAACTTTTTTTTTCTGGCAACTCAGCAGCATTTCTAAATTATGTTCTGTCAGCTTGTAGATATTGAAAAATCTTTGTGTCTTCACAAGGGCTAGGCTCCTTAGAGCCCCATTCTCACTGTCATTTTGAAAGGACCCCAAACCCCTTTTGCAACCACCAGGACTGCCAAGCCTCTGATATAATTTGGTATTTTAAATATGGCATGGTCATATATCTGAAGAGTGTACAAACAGGTTTTTCCCATGCTGTTGTGACAACTGAAGGTTGCCAGAGATCCTGAGAGCATTTACAGTTACATCTGTCCCATGAATCTGCAAATGCATAATTTATCAGCTGGAGACTTCAGACATTTGTCAGTAGGGTGTTAAGAAACTCCAAAATTTTTAGTAGAGCCCTGAAATTGTTATTTTTAGTGGTTCTGGAAGATATTTAAAATTCAGGAACATGGAGGTGGCTGTCCACTTGATGGCAGCATAACCACGCTGCTTCTTGTTCTGGAGCAAATAAGCTTATCTTGGCTAAAATATTTTCTTACATTAGCACTGAGCATTAAAATTTTTATGTGCAAGTGTACACATGTCCCGGGTGCACGCGAATACAAAGCCTGCTCTTCTGTGGAGCACTTGATAGCCAAGCTAACCGTTTTATGCTGTAGAGCTATCAGTTATAAGACCAGTCGACTGGACGATAGGGTGCTGCTTTCAGGGCTTCCAGTGGGAAAACCAGGTTTTGTTTGCTAGTGTTTTTAAGGGAAAATTGTTCTATGAAAAATGTATAGGTTCGTGAGGGCTGATTTTGCCAGAAGGCAGCCTTTCCCAGATGCAGATTTGCTTGTGTGGCCCTGAGCGAGGGATGACCAGCAAATGTGCACTTTAAAATGAACCCACAGTTTTCAACCAGCCAGTCATCTAGATGGAAGCATCTCTGTTCAATTTGAATACATTGTTCTTATTTCAAAGGGAAGATTTCGTTTATGCATCCATTTATATTTACAGAAAGGGATCTGTCAATGCTTTGGGGCATTGTATAAATATTACAAAACTAATTAGGAGCTATCAAGCCA